TGCACTGAATACAACTCTGATGAGTGCATAAACGATTGAATAAATAAATGGAGAAAAGCCTTCAATACATATACAATTTTACCTTTTAAAAATATACAGTTTATTACCTATAAGAAATTTTAAATAGAACAAAACCACATGTTTATTCCAAGTCTTATCACACTTTCAATGATAAAGATGTCAGAGCTCTCCAAAATGACAAGCCCCCTACAGAGTCAGGGCCTCAGTGGCTAGCAAGATGGTACCATGAGAAGAAGACATAATATTACCCATAATCTTTGAAAGTTTCAATACAGTAACTCATTTTCACAGGATTTTCTACTTTGTAACATCATTCCTGTTGTTCTTAAATCCTAAAATAAATGGGGTCAGGAGAATTGTTTCATAATGGAGGTGCTTTGGCCATAATTCTTGAAATAGCTTTGAGAAACTTACTAAAAATTGAACTTATGCAGAAAGCTTACTACTTGGAATTCAGAATGACTGACTGGACAGAAGAGACTGGATAAAACTCATGATCCTTTGCTGACAAAGCAACCTACATTAAAAACACAGAGCCCTCGTGCCTTGACTGCTACAAACTCCTGAGCAGAAATTATAGCTGGGGAGCAGGACTTCCTCCCCCAGGAAGAAAAGATTTTATACATCTCAACCTTACACTAAAAAATATTTTATTATCACTGACATGGTTAAACACTAAATAATAAGAAATAAAAGTATATAAGGAAAGTATATAAATAAGAATAAAGAGTATTCTTATAGTTCAGTGAATATATTGTCATAGACTCAATTGGCAAAAGCACGAATGCCTTACTTAATTCAAGGTTATAAAACTCCGATATTTTGTGTATATCTTCGCACTGACTAGACTGTCCTACCCAAAGTAGCCAATAATAGGGCTAAAGGAGGGATCAAATATTCTATCCCATAAAGCAGTTGGGCAGTTTCCCAAAAACCTAATAGTTCAAAACTTTTTAGTATCAAGTCATTAGCATATCATTGCACACTTTCCCAAAATGTAATAACTATAAAATGAATTTAATTAACCCATCATTTTAGCACCGTGCCTATTGTTTGCTCCATAACATACATCTAATCAGTACTTTGAATACAAAAGTATTCTTTTATTTCTTTCTCCAGATGCTCTCTCTTTATGCCTCCTGGACTGACGAACATTTTCTAACATCAAGAGTCTTGTGGATTTATGATTTGCAATAACCCTCTCAACCAAGGTCAAGATGACCCTTTTGAGAGATTTTTAAATCTAAAACTTTTCTTTAGTAAAAATTATCTATTTCACTTTGATTTACAGAAATTGGTAAAATTTGAAAACTATCTTTCTAGAGAGAGAATGTCTTCTCTCTCTGGAAAGATTCAGTATTTAACTCTAGTTTTATTAGCTAGAAAAAAACTGAAGTTTTATGAAATGGAAAAAGCATCTGAATATAAAACTGGTATACCAAACCTGAAAGTTGAAATACAAATTTGCAAAAGGTGCAGTCAATAGATTCAGGTACATATTTTCCCCTTTAGAGAATGTGGAAAAACTTTTTTTTTAAATTTTAAGAAGCTAAGAAAAGCTAGAGATGGAAAAAGAGTATACCCAGGAGGCAAATATAAAGTAGTAAGATAGTACCAAAAAAAGTAAGCCATCAAGTGCAGGAAACAGATAATGAACAAAGAATACTTTAAATGAGGAAGAAAAATTGTAAAGGATCTGTTTCCCAGAGAGAGGAAGAAAAAAAAGAAAAACAGAAGTGACACTTACGAAGGACACAGTCAACCAAAAGGAAAGCCTGTGAAGCCGGGAAACCACCTCAGCTTCAAGGATGCCTGTGAGATACGTGGCAATATCACCTCTTTGAATTCTAACTGCATGACCTTCTTCAGCTTTCTTTTAAAAAAGCAATGTCATAATATATGAATTATGAAAATGATAGTATTTAACTTTTAGTACTTGGTAAAAATAAGGTTACACATATGCCATTTATCAATGAGAACAGTTGCAAAAAAAAAGGATTCAAAGAAAATAAAGTATCAGAGAAGTGAAAAATATCAGATAGGCTTCTTTACCAGTTAAAAGCTCAGAAAATAGTAGGACAATATTTTTAAAACACAGGAAGGAAATGAGCATCAACCCCAAAGTATCAAAAGCATTGATTCCTCTCCCACATTTAATAAAGAGAATAAAAAGTGCTCAGAAAACAAACTACAATGTACTAAAAAATTCTGGTGAAGCATATTGTGTCACTAAAACAGCAACTTTCCACTGAAAACACATGTAAGGACACAATTAGCATTAACTTCTATTTCTTACATTTATCTATCATGAAAACAGATTCAACCAACTCAACAAGTCTCGTTGAAATAGCACTTTACCATTATCCTGCACTATAACAGACCATGCTAATACACCTGACCTTGGATTGGCCCTGAAATACATTAAAATAGGTCTAAGATGTACTAAAGGTTCATTTGGGAGCAAATCAAGTTTTTAGTGCAGAAAAGAGAATCCTGAATGTAAAGCAACTTCTGGAGGAAAAAAAGTCTCTAACGGAGACATGAAAAGTTGATTAAACTGCAATCTATAAAAATGGTAAGAGACGGGGTGGTAGACATAGGGAGTACTGTCATAAAGCGACAAAGCAGTGACTACAGGGGTCTGGGGTCCAACAGTTTCACCTTATTTAAGAAGAGACAAGAACAGGCACCTAAAGATGGACGAAGTGAGATGCCACGCCCATTCCCGCTTCCCCCTGAGTTTGTACATCCGCAGAGAATCGCCTCTCTACTTTTACAATAACACACAGAATAAACACCAAATGAGAATCCATCCCATGAAAGTTTCTTATTTGAATAAGAGGAGGTATTCAGTAATGAATAAACACTTGGCTCAATGAATATGGTTATTGCTAAAGTTACATTTATTTAGCTTCTCCATCATATTTAGCAGGTATAACAATGAAGAAAGAAGATTCAAGATGACAGGATACTAATCCCTGCAGAACAACTCTAAGTTATACTTAAAAACATGTTTTACTCATATTTTAGAAATTGTACAAAAGTAAGCTTATCCAATGAAAAATATAATGCACATGTCATAATTTGTTTGGCCAGTTGTCTGTATAATTCAAAAATATAACAATATTAAAATATATATATAACGATATTAATAGTTTTAAAAGATTGAAAACAAGATAAATTCTTTTTCTAACTACATCAGTTCATAAAGTAAATAAAATAATGCATATACTTTAGTATAACCCAAATATATACTGATTTTGGAAATTAGGATGCAATTCCTTATAATTTGATCCATCATAATCGATCATTGTTAAAAAGAAGGTGGGGAGGAAAGAGGAAGAGAGAAAGAAGGGAAAGAAGAGGAAAGAAAAGGGGAAAAAATAAAAATTAAATTATTTCTCATAAAGCATGATTCTGCCTAATGTATCAGCAATTTTTGTAACTTCCTTTAAAGTTAGGAACTTTTAAGAGACTCAGTCCACCGGGTTTAGAAGCCTTAAGATCATCTGCTTAGTTCATTTACACCTAGAACATCAATTGCCCTTCCTTCTCCTCCTCCTTTCCAGATAACACTTTCCCTTTCCCCCTTTCTCCCTCTCACTTGCTCTCTTTCCCCCACTTTTCTCTTTCTCTCTCCCTCCTCCCCTATTCTTCTCTTTGCCTTGCCACCTTCTACCTCTTATACATAATGCATTTAAGGTAGTCCAAAAGGGACAATGTCTTGAGAACAATAAATGGTAGAAAGAATAAATATACACTGTAAATTAAATAAGAGCTGTGTCATTTATTGGCTACCTTACCAAAACCATTTTTGTTTCAGATAAGCCAACTGTGTCTGATCTGGACAGGTGTGGCTCCAAAATTTCATAAACAGTTTACTTCCCTGTGATATTATTGTATAGCATGGGAGAAGGAAACAATCTCAGTCTTAAATGCCGGTGTACAAAGGTATATTCCTAGGTGTTCTAAAGGTTTTATATATCATTGTCCATCTCCACAGATACTGGTTGGACAAAGCATCTCACTGATTATGTTTCCTCAATGCACCTTCCAAAGCCACAGGTAGGATTTATCATCTTGCAGAGACAGATTGCACTTTAACCTTCAACCTGAACTTTAGTTTCAGATTGTATCAACTCACACAACTTGTTAACACATGGATGTATACTAGCCCAGTATAATAGAGTTTCAAGGGTATTCATATAAATTCTGGTTCAAAACCCTTAAGAAAACTCTGGTTGATCTGATCTTCCATACTGTGTTTAAAAATAAAACAAAACAAAAAACAAAACTGGTTTCACTATGATCCTTAGCAACAAAGTTATTGTATAATACAGCCAAACTAAAGTGAATCCCCAAGGTCTGAGCTATAGTAAACTCAGGGTAAGAGGTGGGAACTCAGGTACCTGCTTCATTTGGGAAACTTGCCAGTCATGTTCTTAGATAAGACATACATCTGGAAAAACACAGTTACCAAAGTTGTGCTTTATCACAAAAGTAAAGACTTACACCAGACTAAACCCAAATATGAAACTATTTTTAAATCAAAAGATAAATAATGAATCTATTATTTTGTTCGGTGCACACAACTTTGCTATATTTTACACTATGTAATTCCCTTGATAAATATTAAACCCATGAGAAAGAACTCAACTGTACATGTTTTTTTTAAAGACTGCTTAAAAAGTTGCATTTAACAAGACAAAGAAAATCCCAAGTCAGTGATACCATGTCTACACTAATTCGATCACATGATGTATGAAATCACCAATGCCTACAATTAAATACTATAGTTCTACTTCATTGCACTTTAGCAAAGTAATATTACTGAATGATGTGCCACAGAAAAGACATTATTATAATAAATATTTCCCCAAACCCAAGCAAAATTTTACTCTCAAATGGAATACAATTTAAATTACAAATATCAGAACCAAGAAAAGGGAGAAACATATATAGGAAGCTTCATAGCCCACCTTTCTTCTTGACTGGCATTCTTGGTTGTTTCCACTGCCACAGGACTCAAGATCTCTTTTCAGGTCTCAACTTGATCCAACTGGATTGAGGCCAAGAGCCAGGTAACTGTTACAAACCACTTCACCTATTTCGTTTTGAAATCCAGGCTGTCTTCTCTTTCTGATAAAGAAAAAATAGTGTGTCTTTCCACAATTAAACTTTTCACACTGCCCACAGAGTTTAGAGAAATGTAACTTGAGTTTTTCAATTTTTTATAAAATATTTAGGTTTTTTAGAAGCTCAGAAAACTATTGTAAGCGTAGAAAACGTTATTAAAATTCCTCCTCAGGCAGCAACATTTTTGGAGTTCAATGACTAACTCAATTAAGGCACAAACCAAATTTACAAAGCTGTTTCATTACTCAATACATGGTAAAATTCGAAGATTTTGATCTGATTGACGATAAAGATTCTCAATTCTTTAGAGAAAAATTGAAACACCACCCCTGGCACTCCCAAAAAAAATACTTTTGAAAATTTCTTTGACTCTGGTCTTTAAAAAGGTGGGTGAGTTTGAACAGTTTTCCGGAGCAGAACACAGACTGAAAGGCCCTTTCTATTTACTGGACCAGAAGTTCCAGATCTCACCCCTCAGTAAGATAGGATCCAGCTTGCTGTCACTTCCATTTTTTTCTTCTGTGCTCTCCAAGCCCCTCAGGCTTGATCCTTAATGCCCCCTCTGATTCTCATCCTCCCATGTATTAACCGAGAGGATTGAAAAGAAGGAAAGCAATCCCTTGGCATGGAGACATTAAAGTGACAGTGCTACTCAATGGGCACTTGATGCAGGATGAGTTGGCGAAGCAGATTTCTTCACACTGGAGTCATTCACATCATGCCATTTCTTCGCATCCAAGCAGCTGCCTATCCAGCAAGGAAAAACACTGAGACTATTCCAGAGAAGTCAAACCTTCCCGCAAAGGTGTTTTCTGAAACGCTGTAGTAGTATTAGGCATGTGAGCACAAGCTGGCAAACGGTTGGCGATTTCCCAAATGAGAGAGTTCGGCCGCTTGGCTTCCACATCCACCCTTTCTCTCAGTCTCTCTCCAAACTACCCACCTTCCTTTTGTAAAAAAGACAAGAAATCTCTGCTACTAGCGTTGGCTACCCCTGCCCACACCCCGTTCTCATACAGAAGAGCACAGAATGTCCTGCACCCTCCACGCGATGAAGTGTTTCTTCAGGCAGTGGAAACAGCAGCACTAGAAATTATATAACCCTCGAATTTGGCTTCTCTAAGACATGGAGACTGGAGGGTCGGGGGTTGCTGGTCTGGGAGATACTGCTGGGCACAGAACGTGCTCAAAAGGGCGCCAGGCCTCCTAGCTGCGCCCCACACCCCGAAACACAGGGGGTCTTTTCGGGAAGCGAGAAGTAAATTTCTCTCCGGTCCCTTTCCGAGCGGAGTGAAAGCATGGAATATGAGGGCACTGAACATTGGTGAGAGGAGTCAGACGGCTGAGAGGGGAAGAGGCCGGTTGGGGGGGTCAACCTTCTCTTCGAAGGTCCCCGAGAAGCCGGAGCCTTAACACACGCGCCAGGCCAGCGGGGCGAGCTCCCTCGAGGCGTGAAAGGGGTGGGGAGCTCGGCCGCAGCTATCACAGGTGCCCGGTGGCTAGGAAAGCGCCCGGGCACGTCCCCGCGTTCGGAACGCCCCACGTTCCCTTCCGGATGGGAGTGGGAGCTTGGTTAACAAATAGCAGGGTAAAGGAATGCGGGGCTAGCGGGAGGGGCGGACCTATGGGCGTCTGGACCTCCTTCAAGCCAATGAGCAGCCGTAATTTCAGGCCGCCGTGCCCAATTACAGCCAGGATGGAGGGCGCGGCTTTTGACTGGGTTGGGGCGGGCCCGGACCGCAGGAGAGAGGCGTGAGCCGGCCACGCCGCCCACCCCGCGCGTTCTGGGTCCCCGCCCACGTGCTGGTCACGTGAGCCCCCAAGATGGCGGCGCTCCGGCGCGGGGCCGGGGCTGACTCGGGAGATAAAGGTGTGGTGCCACTGGGAGCTGGGGAAGCGCCCGAGGTAGGCGGAAATCTGCGGTGGTTTGGACGGTGATTTCTGCAGCCCTAGTGTGTTGGCAGGCCGTTCTGAAATGATGCAAGTAAAAAGAATTTGAAAACCTAAGGAGAACAGCTCCGAAGACCTACGGGTCGCTCCATCAGTTGCGATGGAAAGGAACGGAGACAAAGTAGGAGACCTAAAGTCTAGGTTGCTTGCCGCTTGTTTTCTCTTGCCTCAGGGCCTTTGCACCGACCTTACTTTCAACTTGAAATACCTTCCTGCACCTTTTCCCACCCCAGTCTCCGCCAAATTCACTTCTTTCAGGTATTCGTTTAAGTTACTTCCTCCGGGAAACCTTCCCACACTTCCCCTAGCTAGGTTAAGTTTGGCGTTTTGTTTTGTTTTGTTTTGTTTTGTTTTGTTTTTATGGCACATGCTTTATGCGTTCAGATTTCCTGCCTTTTTTCCCCTGATTCCTGGCTGAGTTGTGAATTCCTGAGGATATAACTCCCTCTTGACGAATGTCAAATGGTGAATGAACGTGGTATAAAATGTGAAGTCAGGTGAAATAGTACACATAAAAGCACTACAAAACTGTAAGATACTTGGCAAGGTATAAACCTACATAAATTCACTCTTTCCGATATATTGAGTAGTCTTGGACTGATCTTTAGATAAAATGTTGGTTACAGCCAAGTTTCTACATTTCAGTACTTGTTAAAAGTCTATCAGAAAGTTATCCATCTATTTCTCTGCTTTAACACTGCTGCCTTCCAAAGAATAGGCACTCTAATATCTGCTGTCCTGTTTGAATATTATGGGATCATAACCTTGGGTGTCTTTGTTGTCCATATACTAAGACTGTAGAAGTCATTGCCTGAAAGTTTTCTTTGTGGGGTTAGTAAAGGACTTCAGTGAATTGAGTAAAAGCAAAATACAAGTTTACCCAAGTCTCTTGGTTCTGTTACTGACATCAGCCTTCAGAGAACACTAGATTATAGAACCTCCCTCAGATACTACTGTCTCTTCCATTTTCCATTTAGAAGTCAGTGAGAGAAAAAATATTAAATCTAGTGTCTAAGAAATTGTAATTTGTATTTTTTTCCCTGTCCTCCCCAGATATTCTAAAGAAAAAGATGGAACTACTTTGAGTACAGTTTGTGGTGATACAGGGAAAGAAACTGGCCCGTTATTATTGTGTAATAGCATAGAAGAGTTTAGAGGATCCCATCTTCAGCGATTAATTTGCCTTTTCTTAGGGTTAGGGTTGCTACATATCACTTATTCAGCAAATGAATATTACAGTGATGTTTAACGTGTCTGTTGACTACCAGCCTCAGAAGAATCACTGGTGCTAAAATGCAGATTTCTAGGCTTCACTCCTAGTGAATCCATATGTCTTAGGAGGGAGCTGGAGAGAAGCTTTTCAAAGAAACTCCCAGTGTAATTCTTGTGCACAGTACATAATTGACAATCACCAATTAATTATCTTCTGTGTTCATTATGCTTAATCCACTCTAATTCTGTTGCCTGGGACTCCTGAAATATGAGATTCAGTCTATGCCCTTGACTAAATATAATGTCATTAAAGTGGAGATTGGTATAAATTGTGAAGGGCCATAGATTTTTTAAAAGCTGTTCATTGGCTAATCTGGAATCTCATCGTGCTAATGTGGCAAAAGATTTAACAGTTGTTTTAAAGAATTTTCATGTACATTGGAGAGTCTTTCCCAGAGCACAACATTCAGAAAGGAAGCTGAGGATCTGGCTTTTATTGTTGTTTTTTGTTTTACCATGAGTTCCTGTTAAGATACTACAGGCCAGTCATCATGGTCCCTTTTCATTGACAGCCATTTATTCATACTTCACACTTGGGACACAGGACCTGTCCAACCCTAGAGCCCAGTACTGTGGGTCCTGGCTCACTGGTATTTCTGCACAGCAATTCCCAGTAAAGGCCCTGTTTTCGCACCCCGGGAGCTGGATATGTAACATATAATCTGTAGTCATCCATGATCCACTGTCTCTTCTTAGCCTGGAACAGTGTCCCTCTTTCTGATGTCCTCTCTCACTATTGTCCAAGTAGATTGCTGCTCTCTCCTGCCTCTCCAGGAAACTCAGCATTATCATGGAAATGAGCTCAGGCTTTCATGAGACAGGAGAGAGATAGTGGTTAACAAGTAGCAACTGTTTTCTTCTAGCTCTGAAAGCCAGGAGCACTGCAAAGGGCCTGGCTACATTTGGGGAAAACTATAAGGAAAACAAAAGTATTTCAGTAAGTTATCTTTCTATACTAAGTCTTAGGGCAACTCAACCTTTCTGAACCTTATTTTTCTCATCTGTAAAAGTGGAGACGATCACTATCCTACCAATTTTTCAAAATTATGTGAATCAAAAAGCCATTGTCTAGCATATAGTAAGAACTCACTAAATGTTGATTGAATCATTAAAAAGTAGGTAAAAGCAGATGACAACGCCTGACACATTACTAGGGTTTAAATGATTTTTAATCTGAATCTGTAGAGTATAAGATTTCATTAGCTATTATGGTTCTCGAATTTTGTGTTTTTCAGGACATCAAGATGGCAACACACACACATGGTCAGCACAGTCTTTCTCTAGGAGATGCAAACCTCACAAGATCAATGGTCATCGAAATGATAGAAAAAAAATTTGAGTATCTCAGAAAAGAAAAGTAAGAGACACATCCGGACTAAAAATCAATGAACTTTATTTACATATTTTCTATATTACCATTGGTTCTGAATATATGAGATCCTACTAACTTCATTGAGTTGATTGTGAAGAAAACTTATTTAAAAAAAAAAAAACTGGAAAGATGCACGGACAGGTGAAAAATAGTGGTTTGTTGGAATATTAGGACTGTGATAATTTGTCTAAAAATGTCCAAAATTGTTGTTGAAATGTTATTAGTGCAATAAACATTTTTAAATTAAAATTAGGAAAGTACAGTTTGGGGAAGCTATATTTAATTACTGATCAATTGTAATTAAATTCAGTTTAGATATGATTACCTTAGCAACAGTGCTGAGTTAACAAACAGGAGTACAGATTCCATGATACACATGTTATTTCACATTACCATTTTGACTTTTAAATTATTAGAGCTCAAGAATAAAAATGTTGCCTTAGACCTTACACATTTCTGGATGTAGGTATGAGTCAGAATAAGTAAATCTAGATCTAGAAAATTTCTTTGGATGAAGTTTTAGAAATCCTCAAATTATTTTAAACCTATCTTTACTAATTAAGAAACAGTTATTTCTAGAAGGCCTAACCAAATATAAACAGCATTTTTCAAATGACCTTAAGCAGATTCTTTTAATAGCAAGAGCAGTCTTAGATTTTAGATAGCTCATAAAATTTGTCCATATAGGAACATATTTATACTTATTTGTGGCCAAAATTTATTTTCTCTTTAAAAGAGCTCCATTTTAGAACCACTCTAAATATTCTCAGAAAGAGAATTGTATCCTCTGATTAGAATGCAAGTTTCATGAAAAATGGGTTTTGTTTTGTTTTTTTTGCTTTAGTCACTGTCCTATACATAGCATGTAGAAAATACTTTTACATAGTAAGTGCTCAAGAAATATTTGATGTTGAGAAAATATGTACTACCTAGGACAGTATGACTACCTAGGAAGGTATGTCCATTAGGAAAATATTATGTCAAACTTAATTATTTTTCTATTAGGGCTTTAAATATATATGGGACAATGATGATTGGAACAACAGCTAGTTTTTCTGGACTGCTGGCAAACTTCATTTTTAGACACTGCTTCAGGGTTAACCAGGATGCTTTGAAGACATACGCATCATTGACTGCACTTCCATTTTTGTCTACTGTAGTTGCTTATAAGCTCCTTGTCACGGATGCTTTGTATTCAGGTAAGTTTAAATTCATTAAAGTATAATGTGTTTGTCTAAGTAAAATTATTCATTAACATATACTCTTGCTACTGCTGCTAATAATCCCTTACATTTGTATATTGCTTTACCACTTACAAAGTACCTTTTCCTATACTGTCCTACTTTATCCCCTCAACAGTTGAGTAGTAGTGCCTTTTTTTATAGACAAGCAATGAAAACAGATGTGCTCACATCTAAGAAGCAGTATAATATATTGGGAAAAAAAAGCAGGCTTTGGCCCTGGCTGGTGTGGCTCAGTGGATTGAGCACAGGCCTGAGAACCAAAGGGTTGCCAGTTCGATTCCCAGTCAGGGCACATGCCTGGGTTGTGGGCCAGGTACCCAGTAGGGGGTGTGTGAGAGGCAACCACACATTAATGTTTCCCTCGTTTTCTTTCTCCCTTCCTTTTCCTCTCTCCAAAAATAAATCTTGTTTAAAAAAAGCAAAAAGTAGGCTTTGGCTACTACACACAGGATTTCAAATCCTACCTCCTACCATTTAAGTTTTGTGACATTGGGCAAGTCATTTAACCTGAGGCTCAGTTGTATTATCACTAGGACTAAGTGCTTACCTCACAGGATTGTGAGAATTAAGATACTGTATGTTAAATGCCTAACATAGTATTTGGGATATTATGGGTTCTAATGTTACTTTCTGCCTCTTCCCCTTACCTTAAGTTGCACAACTAGTAAATGTTGAAACCTCTGACCCCTGTTCATCAGGCCCCTGCTTAAATATCTCTTCCTCAAGGAAACCTCTGATTACCCCAGGGTTTCTAGACACAGGCTGTATTCTTACCTTCAAAGCATTGTGAACAGTTAAAATTATTTACTTAAATATTGTCTAATGTCTTTCCTGGTAGACTGGCCTGAGGGTGCCCAGCACCTAGCACATGCATGACGTCTAGAGAGTAAAAACTGTTAACCTAGACTCCAGCTGTCTGGTCTGCCAGTTTGATAGTCTTTATTATGAAGTTGCTTCTGCAGCAACCACACATGTAAGAGATAACTTGCCTTATGTAAAGTATAATAAAAGCATTTTCAGATGTGGTACATTTAGTCTATTGTATACCGTAGACTGAATTTCTGATATTCTTCCTACTGCTTCACTATGGTTGAAGACAGTGCAGATAACTACTCTTTGAGGGCACAAGTCTTTCTTCATGTTTACCCTGAGTTTGAAAGGGAGACCAAGTTTACTTTTGTTTTCCAGGTAATATAACTCAGGAAAGCTGTGCTCTGAGAAGTACACTGGTTAGCATAGCGTGTGGTGTTTTGTATCCCAGCGCTTTGGCTTTTTCTAAAAATGGACGTCTGGCAGTGAAGTAAGTCTGTCTGTGTTCCTTCTCTTCTTTCTGTGTGTTCCTTCCTTCAAAAAAAATTAGTAAACTCTCCTTATCTTTTAGCTTTGAGTGACACTTTTCATCAAAATATAGCAGTCTGGTATTCCAAATAGCTAACTTTTAACCTTCTTTGCTAGCTACAGGAAAGACCTTGAATGGAAGTGATGAGTTTAGAAGAAATCAACAAATTTTTTATAGAATATGCATCCAGGAAGAGTGTTTAACTCTTTTTTTTCTTTTTAGGTATCATACTGTTCCACTGCCACCAAAAGGAAGAGTTCTACTTTACTGGGTGATGCTTTTTCAAACAGAGGTAAAAGGAATGCTAATTCCTCTAGCCTTTCAGGCGGCCCTTGGAATGTATAATGGTATACAACATTATGCAATATTTGAAAGTACATTAGAGAAAACTGTACATGAAGATTAACCAAAGAATGAATGGATTTTTTATGGTGAGGACTCAGGTATTGCTGAAAGAGTTCAAAGTAACTCTGGACAATTTGTTTCTTTTCTTTTTGCCTAGTATATACAGATTCTCAGTAAATATTCAGTAATTCAATAAATAAGTGCAAGTTTTGTCTTTCTTCCTTGGTGTATGTGGAAATAGGTTTGAGGCCTCAAGTTCTGATCTATACATTTATACATCCATTCATTCATCAGACATTTATTGAGCACCTGCTACAGCTCAGGCACTGCGTTACATGTAATAAAATATGGTCCTTATCCAGAAGGAACTCAAACTAAAAATGGAACACATAGCATGAGAGGGTTTGAGAGCTATACACATAATTCTGTGGGAAAACTGAAGCCAGTCACTACTTGGGCAAAAGGGAAAGGTATAGGGAAAAAGTAACATTTGACTTAAATTTTCAAGAAGTTGAAAGTTCATAAGAAAGCAAAATACAGAAATAGCATACAGCCCATTGCCCTAATCTCTGGTTCAGTAAACATACTAACTTACAGTTGTTAACAAATTATTTTCACTATGCTGTTTAAAGAATATATATTGAGTGCCTATTTGCTATGCATTCACATAGGCACCAGGGGTACAAAGATTCAGTCCCTGGCCTTAGCAAGCTTAAAGTTTAAAGAAAAACATCACAGCCTGCTTCTTTATATCTGCTAGAGCATTTATCTTAGTTCAAGAATGAACACTGTCTGATGAAAAGAAAAACAGAATGGAATCCCACATCCCTTTCTCCTTGTCTTAAGCATATAGTAAGATTAAATATTTGGTCATCTGAGGCTCCAAGCAACCCAAAGAAGAAATGGAAGTCTTGATAAGGTACTTATGGCACCATATACAACAAACTGAAACACATGTACTTTTTTGCTAATGAAAAAAAAAAGGCTGGTTAGTCATCCAGCTTTGTATTCTCAGAATAATTTGTGATACTTGAAACTCTAAGGAAAGGGGGAAGCAGGGAGTTGGTGGTTAAGGAGGGGCAGGGCGAATCAAGACAAACAGAAAATTAAACCAATGACATTCATATTTTAATTCTTAAAAAATTAGTATGAGTGCATGAATATTTTCCTATTGAGATATTCAAACAATCCAGAAGTATACATGCAGGGCAGGGCAAAAGTAGGTTCACAGTTGTGAATAATGGAAAACACAGAGAATACTTGTATTGTTATTTATTGATTATTGTATTATTTTCCATGTGAACAACTGCAAACCTACTTTTGCCTCACCCTGTGTATATATTTGGTAAATGGAACAAGACTTGAAAAGTCCCCCTCCTCTCCCACTCTGTCCTGTTTCTACTCCGTTCTCCAGAGGTAGCCACTCTCAAGGTAACATGCCCCTTTCCTTGCAGTACTCCTTTGTAACTTACATATTTTAAAATAAATTGTATTATCCATACATACTATGCTGAAATTCACTTGACTGTATGTCTTAGAGATCTTTTCAGCTCATGACATCTAGGTCCAACACATTCTTTTTAGTGGGAGTACATACTTGACTCCAGTATTCACATAGGTGACCTTTCCAACACCCTGGTCTGTCTACCTTACCACTTATGTGTTGTGGACCACTCTGCCTGGTTCTAGGAATTGTAACTCTACCCACTGTGGCTAAGGAGGAGTCAGTGACCTCTGGAATAAGAGCCACAGGAGACAAAGCTTGTATCTGGTAGCAAATGCTGCCTCAGTTTCCTCCCTGCCCTCCCCCCCCAAATGATGGTTGGAAGTCAATGGGGGGTATGACCCCTCAGAGAGGGGCAACCTAGGCCAGACACGATCACTCGGGAGGCCATCATGGAAGGACTTGGGGGGGCTGCAAAAAAGAGCAATGGACTCCCCCTCCACCCTGCTTTGAGATAGCCGGAGTCCCCACATCTTCTGGGAGAAGCACTTCCTGGCTCTAATCCCCTTAAGCCTGAATACCTGTTGGGGAGAGGTATAGCTCCTTGCCTTCCTAGAGCATGTCCAGGGGAGGAAAAATCTGGCATCACAAAGACTTCCTGGTAAACCTGTGAAATCTGCTCTGCTAAGAGTGCTTTCATTCATATGTTAAGGGTTCAAGCAGGAATGACAGACTCTGACTCAGACTATCTACTGTTTGATCCTTGCCGCTTTGTATTCCTGTGTATTACAACCCAATAAAAGTCTTTGGAGGAAGGGGCTCCAGGCCTTTTTCCTCTGGGAAAATGGCCACCCTTCCTCCCCAAGCAGATCATGTCTCAGTCATGTTTACTCTCATCTGTGGCACACAGGGGGACTTGTGAGGAAAGTTGCCCCCACACTTATTCCCATGGTCATACTTTAGACCCATCTGTCTGATATAATACTAGCATTTGAAATGTGTTGCAGGTGTAAACTACACATCAAGTTTTGGAGACTTACTGTGTAAAAGAGAATGTAAAAATCACAAATAACTAATCTATTGATTAGTTGTTGAAACATTACTCTGTTATTTATATTAAACTAAATAAAACACATTACCAGCAAATTAATTTTATTTGTTTCTTTTTTTAATGTGTCTACTAGGAAATTTAAAATTATTTACATAACTCACATTATATTTTTATGTGTACTGTGTTGCTCTAGACCTTGTCATTATCAATAAATCCAGATGCTCCAAATTCTCAGTTTTAAAATCTGACTTTCTTATCACTGTATCCTGTCCCTCAAGTTCATACCACAACTTGAGCATTACATTAGCCTCAACGGATCCTGTAATCCATCAATCCCACTACCTTTTCACTGTCCCCCACCTCCTCACATTCTTACTAACCTTCTCCAACTTCAGCTTCATCAGTCTTTTTTAAAGTTTTACAATCTTGAAACAAAAATTCTAGCTAAAGTTGATTTTTAAATAAAGATAATGGCCTCTTCCTTTGTAGATTTTCTACTCATGTCTTTGGACCATTTGATTTGTAGAAGCTCTATAAATCTTTTATTACGCTCCAAAAGTTTTATTTTTTCATATGCTTAGGTGGTAATCTGGGAAATACAGCAAGGTTGACTTACATATATCTCCCCTGCCATAAGAAAGATGAAGAGATTAGTACCTCATTCCATGATTTCAATTTGCCTTTTCTACAATAGTAAAACCTGGGAATTCTTTGCCTATGTGACTTTAATAGATCTGAAAGGGGAAATTAGGGAAACCTTGATCAGGATCTGAGCCCAAAGACAAAAATAAGTGTGAACCAGAGTGGAGAAATGTAGCAAGGTACCTGAGGCAAGATAGTCCAGAGGTGTCAAGTACAGCCTGGAGCTCCACTATCAAGGTTAAAATCATGGCTTCACTAATCACCAACAGGATGATTTAACACGTTATTTCACCTCTCTGTACCTCAGTTCCCTCATCTGTAAAATGAAGAATAAAGATTGTATTAAGTCAGGATTAGTTAATATATGTAAATCAAATGAGAAGTCTATATGTGTTGCTACCCTTGTTATTACTACATACACACAGTCCTTTCCCTAGCTTCTAGTTGAGTTTAGCATTTTCTCAGGAAAGATTATAAAGAAGCACAACAAAGACAATTCACAACATATTTCATTTGGCTAAATATGTGTTCATTTATTCAGCTGATATTGATTCAAGACCTAGTGTATGAAAGACATTGTACACCACACATTTGTCAAGTTACCTAACCTTTTTTACTCTTTCCTATGGAAACAGACTAATAACTGCTTTACAGTGAAGTTATAAAGATTTATTGAGCACCTCCAGGCATATAGGAGGTGCTTGATACATGGCTTTACATTGTTTTCCCTAGTGGGTATGTAACAATTACTAAGATGTTGTCCCTACTAAGAAAACGTCCTTTCTTTTTTGCCTTTTTTCCTCCACTTCCTCCAACTGCCTTAACCATGTGATTTCCCCTGAGCTTTGTATTCTATTGCATCGCATTGCACAGATAGCAATGTATTGTATGATACTGTACTGTATTGATTTTTCTCCCTGCTTTTGTACAATTGTGTTCTCTTGTGTAAACTATTCAGTAGTTGAATCTCCAAGTGTAGGTAGAGATACAATCAAGAAACAGTATTCTACAGATATGGCTGAATTCAATAGAATTTGTTCACTCACCTTCCTGATGCTCATTAAAAAAAATTCTTCCAAAAATATATAACACTACTTTCATCAGTCTGTCCCTACAAAGACAGTCATAGTAATGTTAATAGACACTAATTGAATCTTCACTAAAGTAGTTAATCCCCCTAAAGTCACCTCATGATTAGGCATAGCAAAAGAAAAGATGGGTGAACTTGCAAAAACAGCACTATAAACTTCAAAATAAAACTGATAAAAAATTAACATAGTAACCTTACATACCTCTATATCTGTAAATGAAGCATCTAAAGAGGGATGAGCAGAAAAATTTTTTGGAAATATTAATGGTTGAAATTTTTCCAAATGTCACAAAAACTACAAAACCATAGATGCAAGGACTTCTAGTCCAAGGTGGTGACATAGGATGCTCCTAAACTCACTGTCCAAAGACACACTGAATCTACAGCTACATAGAGAGCAATTCCCTCTGAAAGAAATACAGAAACTAGCTGAGTGACACCTACAGATCAGGCAAATGAGAAAATTCACCAAATGGGTAAGGAAAGAATTGAAACAGCTCTGACCATAAACCCCACCCCAACAGAGCAACATACAATCAGGAGGGAATTTAAAAAATCTCAGCTTCCTCCTGAGAAGGGAAATGTTTGGACCCAACCACCTGGTGCCCCAACATTCAAGACTTCTACCTGAGGGAAGGGCATCCAAAACACCTAGCTCTGAAAGCCAATAGATTGCTGTCCATGAGACCCACAAGGCTACTGCAGAGGTGGCAGACAAAAAACGCCCATCTCCCAGTTTTCCCTGAATGAGGTCTATTTGCACACTTCTAAAAAAATGCTGCCTGAGGGTCAGAATTCTAATTCAGCCCTTTTAGGAGTGAACTGCAATTCTTCCTGGAGACTAGGGAAACCGGCAGACATCTCCCTACCTTCTCTCTCCTCAAGCCGCCCCAGGTCAACAGTATCTCCCAGGAAGGAGTTAATATACACATCTGTACAACAGCCTCTGTATGGCTACGCAAGGGGCAGGTCCCCAGACCTGGCTCTGATA